TAAAACTTCACTTTGATAGTTTGAAGACTAATATTATGTAGGACTTATTTCAAAAGACTAAGGAGATGCTTCAGGTAGAGTTAGAAATGTATGAAACACAAAAACTATCAGAAAGTTTTCTTTTTAAAAGAACATATTATAAAATTAGGCAATCATTCTTTTAAAAACAAAGACTTTTCATATTAATTTCTTCTGTTGAAACAGATTGAAGTGACTTGAGTATTTAAGAATATTTCAGAAACACTTCCTCAAAAATTTCTAACACTGAGGCTAACAGGTGGCATGGAGGTTAAGGCAGCTGAATTCTTTTTTTTTAGAGGTTTTTGCTATAGGGCGCGTGCGCTCACCAGACAGAGAGAGAGACAGAGAGACAGAAAGCGAGAAATCACCCCCCAGGGGGGACGGCCACACCGCAATCCATTCTCCTCCGTTCTCCTCTTGGGATCTTGGGCACACACGCACACGCGCCCGGTGTGAGTTTTAAGCTACCGGGTCCGGGACGTGAACTGTGGTAGACTACATGGGAGTCCAGCGACATAGCCATTACGCTAACTGCTAGTTCCAAGGCAGCTGAATTCTACATGGCCAACTACATGGTTCAAGTCCCAGACCCGCCCCAGGTGTGTGTGTGTGTGTGTGTGTGTGTGTGTGTGTGTGTATGCCCAAAATCCCAAGAGGAGAATAGACAAGAGGAGACTGCAGTGTGGTCATACCCATGGTTGGTTGATTTCTCACTTTCTCTCTCTGTCTCTTTTCAGCACATGCACATGCTCTATAACAAACTTAAAAAAATGCCTAAGATGGTAACTTTCTTTTTTTTTTTTTTTAGAGATTTTCACTGTAGGGCGTGTGCGCTCGCCAGACAGACAGAGAGAGACATAGAGACAGAAAGCGAGAAATCACCCCCAGGGGGGATGGTCACGCCGCAATCCCTTCTCCTCCGTTCTCCTCTCGGGATCTTGGGCACGCACGCACACGCGCCCAGCGTGAGTTTTAAGCCACCGGGTCGGGGACAAGAACCGCGGTCGACTACGTGGGAGTCCAGCGACATAGCCATTACGCTAACTGCTGGTTCCCAAGATGGTAACTTTCAACATTGCTCAACATCACTATGTAATCAAAACCAACCACAAGCTTTTTGGGGCCAGGGATTATGTCTTACCTTCTTACATCCAGTGCTTAGGAACAAGCACTCATGAACTAATGTTCACTGAAAGACACTGCTGAAGTTGTAACCATTAAATTAGCAACATGACTCTCAGTAAATAAACAGTCCTTCGGGATTATAGGAAATCAAAACACTTTTTTTTTTTTAAGAGAGATTTTTGCTATAGGGCACATGCGCTCACCAGACAGAGAGACAGAAATAAGAAATCACCCCCCAGGGGGGATGGCCACGCCACAATCCCTTCTTCTCCATTTTCCTCTCAGGATCTTGGATACACACGCACGTGTGTCCGGCATTAGTTTAAGCCACCGGGTCTGGGACTTGGACTGTAATCGACTACATGGCAGTCCAGCAACATAGCCATTACATCAGCTGCTGGTCCCCAAAACACTTTTAAGTTTAAGTAAGTATTCTAAACACACAAAATGTTCTAGTTCATCCTAAATAACCTAGTTCCTCAGTGCTAAAGAGAAAAGGAATTAAACGGAAAATTTTTCTTAAGTAACTCATGGAAAATTTGTGAACTGAAAGGCAGACTAAACATTGTAAGAGGTAAGTTGAATTAGCTACCTCAACTTTGCACGGCATACAGCAATTCAGTAATGAGAAGTACTGCATATTGTTTTATACAGATCCCACCCATGTCCACACTTGCTTTTCAAATTAAGTCACTGAAGAGGAAACATTTTTAATATGTAATTATATTTAAAACATTAATGTAGATTATACCATTCAAAATCTATTCATTTCATCCAACCAAAAGTTGATTATTTGAGGAAAAGGCTTCCATACAGGGTGTGAACAATGGAAGACTTTCAAGGCATGTACTAAAAACACTGTCCATAAAAACAAAGACATTTCAAACAGGCCCATCTAGCTAGTTGAGGTCAGAAAGTTGTGCAGTATCTTTTTAAAGAATTATTTAATTTTATTTGTTCATTCATTTTAATTTGACCAGAGAGAGACACAGAGAGAGAGCAAAATGGAAAGTGAGAAAGCAAGCCACCAGATCCAGTGCCCTAACCACCATACCACCTGCTGGTCCCTGCAGTATTTTTTTTAAACATATGATTTTATACTTTATACTGAGTCAGCCTACTTTAAAAATAAGCCAGGTTTTTGTGAACCTGAAGCCAAGTCATACTAAGTATCTCTTTCCTCCTCCAGGTTGAGTTAGTGGTGGCTATGAACACAAAATCAAAGCTCATTTTAGGATTAATCTGTCCACAAAGCTATTTCAAACTTCTATGATCCCAAAAAAGGAAGCAACAGTAACTCATTCAAAGTGCTGAATATTCACAAGCCACTCTGCTAGGTATAAGAATTCAGAAAACACCCACACACATGCATACTAAACAGACACTGGCAGGACCAGCAGATGGTGTGATGGTTACGTCGCTAGACTCCCATGTAGTCAACTGTGGTTTGAGTCCTGGACCTGATGGCTTAGAACTCATGCCAGGACCATGTGTGTACGTGCCCAAAATCCTGAGAGGATTTGGAGGAGATGGTATTGTGGTGCGGCCATCCCTCTCAAGGGCAATTTCTCACTTTCTGTCTCTCCGTTTCTCTGTTTCTCCGGGAAGCGCAAGTGCCCTATGGCAAAAATCTCTTTAAAAGAGAGAGAGAGAGAGAGACTGGCTTTCAATGCATACTCTAGTGGAGAAATAATATACTATGTTCTATAAAATCACAATAATTATGTTCTATAAAACAGCCAGTGGTGGGGTCAGTAGGTGGCGTAATGGTTATAGTGCTGGACTCACATGGCTGACTGCAGTTCGAGTCCCAAACCTGGTGGCTTGAAAATCATTCTGCAGGGACCCGCAGTTGGCGAAATAGCTATGTCGCTGGACTCTCGTATAGTTGACCATGGTTTGAGTCCCGGACGCAGTGGCTTAAACTCATGCCAGGCATGTGTGCGTGTGTGCCCAAGAGCCTGAGAGAAGGATGGAAGAGAAGAGATTGCAGTGTGGCCATACCCCCTGGGGGGGTGATTTCTCACTTTCTATCTCTCCATCTCTCTCTGGTGATCATGCACGCCCTATAGCAAAAACCTCTCCAAAAAAATAAATAAATAAAATCATGCTGTGCATGTGTGCATGCATGCCCAAATCCCAGGAGAAGAATGGAGGAGAAGGGATTGCAGTGTGCCATTCCCTCATGGAGGTGACTTCTCATTTTCCTTCTGACTGTTTCTCTCTGGTGAGTACACACACCCTATGGCATAAAACCTTAAAAAAAAAAAAAAGCCAGTGGTATGGTAGTTAAGGCAGCAGTGTCTCACATGGCTGATCACATGGCTGACAGTGCAGTATGGGTAGACTCAAACCCAGTGGCTCATGTGTTAGCATGCCCAAAACTCTGAAAGAGGAGAAACAGAGGAGAAAGGACTGTGGCATGAAAATTTCATATGGGGAGTGCTTTCTCACTCCTGCCCCCACCCCCTGCAAGGTAATATACCATCTGGGGCAACTTTAAAAAGTAGGCTGTTTGCCAAATCAGGCTATAGTCTACAGACCCCTGACACAGAAGAAAAGCAACTCTCAACCACTAACTCTCCCAAATACAACCTCTCTTTCTGGAAACTATAAATAATTTTAGATAGAACATGAATGAGAGGTTCAAAGAGCTATAAGAATAAGCCATCTAACTGAACTCTTGAAATAGCAAGCTGGGATCCAAGAAGGCCCAAGTGACTTGCTTACAACAGAGAAGTCAAATCCTCACTTTCCTCTCCTTCCCCTTCCATTTTTGGAATGCTTACACTCAAATTTGAGGACTCCCTTTAAAATACACCAAAGCATTGGGCCAGCAGGTGGCATAGTGGTTAAGACGGAGAACTCTTGCCTGGTCGACCACAGTTTGAGTCTCAGGTCCGGTGGCTTGAAACTCAAATTGAATGCCTGTGCGTGCATGCTCACAGTCTCAAGAGAAGATCAGAGAAAGGATTTTAGCAAGGCTATCCCTTTTGGGATATGACTTCTCACTTTCCCCCTCTCTGACTCCCTCTGGTGAGCACTCCCACAATACAGCAAGAAACAAACAAAACAAAACAAACAAACAAAAATATATATATATATAAAAAATGCTGGTTTTATCTGATACTTTTTCCTCACGCTATTTTGTCATGTTCAAGAAATACACATGGGACCAGCAGTTAGTGTAATGGCTATGTCGCTGAACTCCCATGCAGTCGACCACGGTTCAAGTCCTGGACCCGGTGACTTCAACTCATGCTGGGTGCGTGTGCATGTGTGCCCAAGATCCCGAGAGGAGAATGGAGGACAAGGGATTATGGTGTGGCCATCCCCCCGGGGGGGTGATTTCTTGCTTTCTGTCTCTCTGTCTCTCTCTGTCTTTCTGGCGAGTGCATGTGCCCTATAGCAAAAACCTCTCCATGAAAAAAAAAGAAAGAAATACACATTAAAATAAGAATCATGAAACACTTACAATAATGTTTCATCAAAACCGGGCTATCATGTGGTCTGGTCAGGCTGGACAGTCTGGCTTGAGCAGAAGCCTGCACAGGGCTGCTAGGCAGAGGGCACTAGCTGTATGGCCGTCAAGGTCAAAAAGCAGAACTCGGCAGAGCCACTGCTTGTCTCACCAAGTTCTTCTAGAACATCCTGGGATATCATGTAATATCTAGTAGGACGAGTACAATCCTATCTGTCTGTAACTTTCCCTATGACTGTAATATTGAATTAGGAATTACTTTAATGCCACATCTTATCATTCATTATACATAAAGAACAGTTTCATTTTCCTTTGACTGGTAAAACTAAAGCTTATTCTTTGTACCTGAGATTCTAATCGTTTCCCACAAGTATTTTGGTTTAAAAGACAACTTTTATTGTAAATGAAGAGGTTCTCTAAACAAATACAGATATAGTGAGATAGTCCAAATGACCCTTCCCTAAATTTAGAACTTAAATTCTAAAACTACTTGAGAGAACTCATTTAGCACTCCATACCACAAAACAATTTCATGGAATCAATTCTGAGTATCTCTTGATCTCTTAAAATATATTTAGACAACATATAAAATTATAAAATATTTCACTGATAAACCATGTATCATCCAGTTTAAGAAATAGCATCATTGGTGCCTGTAGTCCCAGCTGAGGCAGGAAAACTGCAACACAGTGAGATACTGTCTTTAAAAAGAAAGAAAGAAGGCAGGAAGGATGGAGAAAAGGAAGGAAAAAAAATGGCTCCTGAAATATCACAAGCCCATCAAGTATAGGATTATACTAATTTTCATTTTAGATCTGAGGTAATGTGCTTCTCTACATCCCATCCTTGCTCATTAGATAAGAGGGATCTGATACCTTAAGATTGAAAAAGAAGCATGTCCTCTCTTCATTAAAAAAGATTAAATGAAAAAAATCATCAGTTCTTAATGATTGTTGTGCAGCTTCTCAATCTTCCTTTTATTCTATTGTATTTAAAAACTGTTCTTCTTGAAGTTTTAATTTAAAGTCCTCTCTGATTCTTTCCAGTAACTCTGGTTTAAAAATAACGTCCAGTGCGGTCATTGCCAGAGCTTTGGCAGTGCGCAACGTGTAGAACTGAGCTTCCTGTGATCCTGAAAAATGGAGAAAATACACTAAAATATCATTGTATTTACTAAAAATTAACTTATTATCAGGTTTGCTCTTGGTTCCTAACTGGCCTCTCCCACTGCCCACCACAATAAAGTACTTTCTTTTTCAATAAAGAGTTTTGCTCTAGGGCACATGTGCTCGCCAGAGAGACAGAGAGAGATAGAAAGTGAGAAACCAGGCCCCAGGGGGGGATGGCCATGCCACAGTCCCTTCTCCTTCATTCTCCTTTCAGGATCTTGGGCATTTACACATACGCGCCCAGTGTGAGTTTAAGTCTCTGGGTCTGGGACTCGAACTGTGGTTGACTATGGGGAATCCAGCAATGTAGTCATTATGCCATCTGCTGGTCCTGACAATACAGTACTTTCTAAGGTGACGTGAGGTAGGGAAATGACAAGCGTCATGAAATAGCAAGGAAGAGTGGCTACCACTAGGGAGAGAGAGTACGCGTGAGGGAACATTAATGTCGAAAGCCACTCACCCGCTGCTTCAGTATACTGCTCAGTATGATTCAAGGCATTAGATCCAATGTAGAAATATGGATGGATTCCAGGAACCACAAAAGTCACATTTCCAAAATCAGTAGATCCTTGGAATAAGCACACAATGAAAGAAAGGTATTCTTGGTTAAATATTTTTAAAAGACATTCTAACCAGAATTCTATATTTGATTACAGTTCCCTATTCCCTACCCTGTTGAAAGAAGTCCATAGAAACAGAAATAAGAGTTCAAAAACTAAGAAAATGGCCAACTTAATCATAGTGACAAGTCTGGAGTTGAATATTATAGCCCAGAATTCAATTGGGAAGATCAAACCACAACAGAAGATAGACTGAACTGGTGAAATAGCATTTTATGACTTTTGACTAAAATATTGCTGATTTCCTTCTAGGCTTTGTTGTCTAGTTTTAATGGTTTTTGTCCGCTCTTGAACCAGGTTCATGTACCTACTATTTGAATGGAACCCTAACCTGTTTCCTGGCTTGAAGTTCTAAGCAAAGCTCCTTCACATTTCTTTGATTTATTAATGTTAAAACTGCTTTTCTTGAAATTACCAGCTGAACTTGCTATTCAAAGTAGTTAGATTATTTAAGAAATTGTGTGATCAATAAAATATGGGGGGAAAAGGAATGGAAGATAACTGTAGACAGTAGAGGTAATATGAGAAGAGGGTGGGAAAGAGCAGAGGGTCAGAAATAGGGGTTAAAAAAAAAAAAATATATATATATATATATACACACACACACATGCAACTAGAAATGGAAAATTATTGATGATAACACGCATGACTAAGCTACTATGCAGTATATTCTGGATGGGAAATCACATTTCATATGCTGTGATGATGCTTAGGGAATGAGTGTAAATTAATTAATTAAAAAAAGTTTCAGAAAAAAACATAAAAACTTTTTTTTAATTAAAAAAATACATTAAAAATACCTATTTGATAACTGCAGTAAGCTACATAGCCCCAACTAGGTGCTACTTTATAGTATGTTCATTCTAGTCACTGAGGTTTATGCCTAAAGTCAGACTTGTGTTCATGGATATGTATGTATCAGCTGCTCTTGCTATTGACAATATTCAGATTAATTAAGATCTTCAGTGAATCAATAAAACGTGGGGGAGAAAAGGAATAGAAAGCAACCATGGATATCAAAGACAGTGCGGCAGGAGGGTGGGATATGGCAGAAGGGGAGAGATAGGGAATCAAGGGTGGGAAAAAAAATATATACAGGAAACAAGAAATGGAAAATTATTTGTTGCTAATAACACTTCAGTTGATGTACTTGACTGAGCCAATATACAGTGCATTCTGGATGGAAAATCTCATTTCATATGCTGTAATGATGTATAGTGAATGAATGTAAAGAAATTTAAATTTAAAAAAAGGAAAGAAAAGAAAAGAAAGAGGTCCATAGAAGTGAATTTGTTAGAAAAGAATATACTTAAGATTATTTAAATTCTAGTAGGTGTCTTATTCCTCAGAAACTGAAAATGTCCTAGATAAGTACTTAGTAACCTGCTTATTGTGATGACTACAAATGAGTTAAAAGTTGGTTTCCCATGTTAGTGGTTTACTGAAAACTTTCCTTAGAACTAAGCAAATTTAGGGACTAGTAGTTGGCATAATGGCTATGTCGCTGGACTCCCATGTAGTCAACTGAGGTTTGAGTCCCGGACCCGGTGGCTTAAACTCATGCAGGGCACATGTGTGTACGAGCCCAAGATCCCAAGAGGAGAATAGAGGAGAAGGGATTGAGGCATGGTCATCCCCCCAGGAGGGTGATTTCTTGCTTTCTGTCTCTCTGTCTCTCTCTGTCTTTTCTGGCAAGCACACATGCCCTATAGAAAATCCTCTCAAAAAAAAAAAAAAAAGAGAGAGAACTAAGCAAATTTAAACACTAGAAATATTTACAATATAGACCAAAAAGTAGATTGGCTATATCTAAAACCAAGTTTGCTCATTTGACATTCTATAGTCACTGAAGAATCCATTAGTTTCTTTCCCCAAACATTACATTTGTGAAGTATGTCCCTACCTCCCAAACCATTAAATAAATCCATTTAAACAAAGATAGATTTCACTTCTTCAAATAGTTCAATATATAATAAAAGAACTTAATTACCTGAAGAACCATTCAACATCGTATCTTCTGAAATAAATTCTATTCCCAGTTTTTTTCCATTTTCCATATAAGCCTTCCATAAGCTCTTATTGGGAAGAACATTGTAATAATCATGTGCTCCACCTTCAATTTCTACCTAATAAAAAATTACAAAACAAATTTTGAAATAAAACTTTCAAATTCACTATCTAATTTTCAAATCAGTAATGGTTCTCTTAACAGGAAGAGGTTATAAGAAGGACTTATAGAAGCACTTTCCCTTCCAGATATAAATTCTCAAATCTCTCACCTTAAAAAAAAAAAAAAAATACAGGTTAAGGGTGCCGGACTCCCACAGGGCTAACTATGGTTCGAGTCCCAGACCTAGAGGTCTGTCTCACTTTCCTTTTCTTTCTCTCTCTCTCATTCTGTCCCTCTCTGGTTAAATTAAAAGAAAGAAAGAAAGAAAGAAAGAGGGAAGGAGGGAGGGAGGAAGAAAAAGAAAAATAACTCTTTAAAAAAAAATACACATGCATTTTACAACTTAAGTTCCTAGGCCCCTACGTCCTCTGTGTTATATATACACTAAATCTTATGATGGCCCCACATATGACTAGCCGGCAAGTGCCAATTTCAGTCACCTTAACAGGATATAAGGGGAGCCCAGAAGTTTCCATTTTATTCAACATCCCCCAAGTAATTCTGTCACAGGTGGTCCAAAATCCACACTCAGAATAACACTACTCTAGGATTCAGTCCTAAAAACTGACACTAACACCACTGCCTGGTCTAAAAGTGCCCTGAGAGAAATATGGAAGATTCACAATGAAGGTTGACAACAGTTCTCATTTATTAATTTCAGTGTATGAAGATATAGAAGGAGTTTATATGTGCCAAGTTAAGTGGATTTAGAGATTCAGCTTTGGTTAAATCAAAATGAGCAAGATTCTCTCAAGCTAAAGGTAATGCCAATAATGTTAGCAAAATCCAATCATAAAATAGTAGAAATGACATGTCTTCTATTGTTGGCAATATCTGATATAGAAACAATGACAACATAATCAGATCTTACAAGTCAGGTAAAATATAATAAATTATTATTTTTTAAGAATTTTTTATTTAGGGACCAGCAGTTGGTGTAATGGCTATGTCGCTGGACTCCCATGTAGTTGACCATGGTTCAAGTCCCGGACCCGGTAGTTTAAACTCATACCTGGTGCATGTGCGTGTGTGCCCAAGATCCTGAGAGGAGAATGGAGGAGAAGGGATTGCGGTGTGGCCATCCCTCCCAGGGAAGGGGAGTGATTTCTCGCTTTCTGTCTCTCTGGAGAGCGCACATGCTCTATAGCAAAAACCTCTCCGAAGGGGAAAAAAAATAATTATTTATTTAATTTTGTTTATTAGTATTATTATTTTAATCTGTTACAGAGCATGCACATGAGAAAGAGAAAGTGAGGAAGCAAGCTGCCAGGTCCAGGACTCAAACATAGTCAGTCATGTGGGAGTCCAGCTCCCCAAAAACCACACCACCTGCCAGCCCGTATAAGAAATTATTAAGACTATTTAAAATGTAGATTTAAATCCAACAATGAACTTTACCTTAAGGGAATATACCTTGAGATATTAGCTAATGATAACAGTTCATGTACGCATCTTATAAATACTTAAAATATTTATAGGGCCCAGCAGTTAGCATAATGGCTATGTCACTTAACTTCCATGTAGCCGACCATGATTCGAGTCCTGGACCTGGTGGCTTAATCTCACGCCAGGCATGTGTGCATGCATGCCCAAGATTCCAAGAAGAGAATGGAGGAGAAGGGACTGCGGCATGGCCATCCCCTGGGGGGTGATTTCTCGCTTTCTATCTCTTGTCTTTCTGGCAATTGCACGT